AGAGAGAGAGAGAGAGAGAGAGAGAGAGAGAGAGAGAGAGAAAGAGAGGGTGCGAGCCAGCGAGTGAGAGAGGAGGGGGAGGCAGAGGAAAAAAGAGATAAGTGATGTTGAAAGGGAAGGCTGTGCGATCTCACCCTACGTCTTCTGTTAGAGATTTTAGTGGATAGAAGAACTGCAAGCTAAGGAACGAAGAAAATATAGTTGCCCGCATATATGCACATTATATGTGCGGTAAATTGTAAAATTAATTAGCAGTTAATACTAATCTATTGCTATACTCTATAGTTCTGACTGATGGTGCGTGCGACATCAATATTCTTATAGCTGTAGGTGTTTTTTTTTACCAAACTCATACCTTATATTTATTACTACACGTGTTTTTTGTTTGAAATTTACATTTAAAGGCTGGACCACTTAAGCTCGTTTACAACAGTAAAATTATTCTCCGTCAGTGAGTCACGTGGTCTGGCTGCTGTGGGGAAGTGTGCGGCCCTGGTTACTGTCTTACTAGTGTATGATACGACGTCAGTGTTCAAGCCGTGAAATATATAGATACTGTTTAAACCCTGTAAAATCGTGCAGTGGTTGCGCATCTGAGAGATCACGTTCCATTTATTCAGTATAGCGAAGTCGTTTAGCAGTGTCAGCCTGTCGCGTTTACTCTATCATGCGACGTTCGCGCTTGTATAGACGTCGGGCGACGGACTTGAACCGGAAACAATAAAAAACAGCAGGCACCAAGAGGTCCACGAGGAAATCGTACTATCGGCTTGTATGTTTCTTTTAAATAATACAAAATAAAAACCGGGTTACAGTTACCTTAACGCACGCTCTTTATTCTGTTTTATTACGCAGTCGTTTCATTCGCCCCCCATCATATACACTTCCCACCATTCACTTCCCTTTTCATCTTTATTGCCGTACACAGAGATATTGTCGTATATGTTTGTCATACGGTTGATTTTGCTCAGAAGGCAGTAGGAACCCGATATCTAGGAAGCAATAATTCAATCATTCAATGGATCATTAATAAATGCTGTACTAGGGTACAAGAATATAATTATATGCCCCGTAGTCTAGGATGTTAATGAATGTAATAATTAACATAGTCCATGTCATTGTTCAACTGTAGGCGAAAAGAGATTGGCAAAAGTTGTCTTCCTGCCTGTCTGTGTAAAAGCTGCGAGAATTCTGAACAATTCACGGCTAAAGGTCCTCTAGTCATGTAAGGCTGTCGATGAATACCTCGGCATCTCGCCATGCATGCACACACACACACACACACACACACACACACACACACACACACACACATCTGATCAAGCAAGGCAACGTGGCAGCTCTGCTCGGTACGTCTAGCTGGACCCAGCAGTTCAAGGAAGCCGTCACCGTATCCGCAGGTAACAGCCCCACGTTCAACCGACTAGATGCACTACATCCGATGCATTTAGAATCTAAATCGAATTACTCAATTATTAAATTTATTAAATTTAAAATTTAAATTAAATTAAGTTAAATTTTAAATTAGAATCATAGATGCGTATAGCGTGTCCGCAGGTAATGCGACCGCACTCACTCGACGAGACTGATGTATGATGCATAAGCTGAGGCACTAACAAGCTAGACTCGTAGATGCGTCTTTCCTATAATCGAATTCTTACATCGGCTAATAATTATGCATGGGTTCAATGTATGATTCGCGGCCTGATTACCTACAGGTTTTACGAGTTTATGCATAAGTGCAATATTTATATATTATATCAAGAGATAATAATACTTGTATTATTAGCTCGTGATTATATACACACACATGCAGGCACGCCCGCGGGCGACACACTCATGAACATGCATATGCACACAAACAAGCTTTCAGTTTCCAAGGATTACGTCTCCTTATTAGGCTCATAATAACATGAAATAGTTATACTCATACACAGTAATTAAAGAAAATGATAGTATGCCAATGCATATAATAACATAGAACGTTTATAATTTTACACATTTGACTATAGAGTAATTATAGAATATTCGACGTTATTCCAAGCCTGATGGAGAGACGTGGATCTCTTGGTTGTTCTTTAAAATTAAAAGCCACATTCGTGTTAATAATAAATTCCATGATTTAATTGTGCCTTGTATCTGAAATCTTGGTGCTCCTCCTATACATTGCTGTCTTCACTCAAACCCATGTCATCGTTATAGAACGGCCACCCTCTTTATGAAGCACACATTTGGCGCTTTCCTTGAATGGTCGTCATAAGCCTATACAGTGTTTACGTGTATTGCCAGCCATTCACCTGCAGCACTTTACGGAACAGTGTCGTGTCGTCTGCTTGCAGGCGATGAGGACGGCGATGACGAGGACGATGGAGAAGGAGGAGGGGAGCCAGCCGCGCCTAGCTGCTTCGACTACGTGATGCACTTTCTAACCCTCTTCTGGAAGGTTCTGTTTGCCTTTGTACCTCCCACCGGTGAGTTGATGGCATGCTACGCACATGGTAACGATCTCAGAGATCATACTAACAGCCAAAAATAATGTACATGCTAAGAGGAGTTAATAATGACAAATTTGTCAATTGTCAATTGTCAATTTAATAATTTGTTATTATTAACTCTTGATGCTAACAGGGGTTAACAATGATAAATCGTGCTCGCAGCGCCGCCGTGCGTCGAAATATTCAGAAAAAGGTAGGCTCCCTTATTAAAAATACGATGTTATAAGATAAGATGATCACTATGAGAGCATAGTGCCCCCAACAACAGGCATTAATATATAATTGTAGTAGCTTACATGTCTAATAAATGATGTAAACAATATGCACAATGCTAAACGATAGATGTCTTTATTTTGGTGATGATCAATTGATAAAGTGCTTGATCTGAAATGAAAACTATAAAAACATGCTTATTTCAATAACATATTCCCTTCTGGTAGGATTTAATTAAGAAGGAAATGACATGTAACAAACAATAACATATTTCTAATATATATTCCCTGTTGATCAGCTCTGATAATACATAGAATTAGCTATCAATCAATATCAAACTATTTAAATGAAATTTACAAGTTCTATAAGCTTGCTCAACAACATTCTACATTTGTGGGATGGTACCCAAAACGTGAGATGGTACGAGTGTTTATGCAAATCGCCTCATTTGAAACCTCGATTGTAAACTCACCATTTACGTCCACAATCAAATTTCAAAATGTCATTTTTAAACATTAGACTTTTCTAGAGAACATACTTAAATCAATGTCACAAGAGCACTACAAAGCAGTACAATAGAGCAATATTAGATCATCTGCTACCCTTCAAATTACGTGCACCTATGTTTCGAATATTGTAGCAATCTCGTACCTGCTCATTGCTTGACAACACAAATGAAGACTGTCCTTGGCGGCGGAGACACCAACAGTATACGGAGGTATACAGATGCACGTAAGGCCTAGCTTGTGGGACTCTCATGACTGTTATACAGCAATGCTCGTGACAAGTTTGTGAAAAAAAAACGTTTTTGTCACTTTCCATTTTTACTCAAAAAAACTTACTCATACAATAAATTGACGAAAAAAATAACATAACACAAATAGGTAAAGTATGTTCATAAAAAAGATCTAAGCTTTAAAAATAATGGGAATTTTACTATCATATTTGGGATCTCAAATTGGTAGATTTGGACTATTTACGAGAGTGAACCAGTCAAATTTATACTTGGATTTTTTTGAATTACTCCTGGATTATATTATGCTTGTGCATCAAATGTTGCAACTTGTATAAAATATATTGATTGCATATTCATAATCCAAAAGCTTCACATTTTTTAACCACACTGATGTATAGAACCAAAATTTTGTGAACCTTTAAGAAACGGGCATTATAGATACATCATTTACAGATAGCACTACCCCCACTGGCTTTTAATCATAATTCATAAAATCTCGTTACCTAATCAAGATCCCATAGCACAACCATGCCCTTATTTATCAAGCCCACAGTGATATACATACTAAAATCACCTTTATTCGTTATTGTAATGAGACATTCAAACGTAATCTGGTCCGATTTGTATAATGCATAGGTGCATTATGACTGTACCATCGCTTGCACTGGTACATCAACCTTGTCTGTCTATACTGATGAGTCGTTATCTTCCTACAAAGAATCACTTGAATTCCTCAAGTCACAGGGTTCCCTTTTTTAACCGGCACTGAGCTGTTGTCTCGCTGGATGACAGGTCCTGTGTAGTAGCGTACCATCATGCTAGAACCTCTCTTCAGTGCATGCTAAAATAGAAAAGTGCTGATAGAACTACTGCACATTTCGCAATTATTATTCTCCACGTCAGCCTCTATTATAGGCTACACTAACTTGGGAACAGTTGCAGGAAGACATGTTGATACGCACCTCCCTGCTGAGTTGTTTCCAGCAGTCTATCCAGCCAGTATAGTGAGGCATGGCGGGTGGACTCCCAGCGACTAACCTGAAAGTAGTAGAGTAGAAGAGTAGGTTTTGGATGATGGTACTGACACCAATACATTTATTCATTTATCAGCTACAATTTTTATTTATTATAGAAGATTGATGTCTTACGAATCTTATGTTGAGATTCTTGAGGTACTAGAATGTTTCAGCTTACCCAGAACTGTTGACTGCCATCACAGTGGACACAACATTAAACGGGTACATCACGGTTCCTGCCAGAATCTGTAACCATAAATAATTATTTTACATTAATCAATTCAGAAATGGCCGAAAACTGCAATATTGTTATGCTATTGTGACAAGCATGCAATAAATCATTGTCACACAACACTTACGTTTGCGATTGGTGCGCAGTAATGCCTGACGTCCATCTCTGTGAATACCCAGGAATTGACGACGAAGGTTACGGAGTTAGCAACCAATATAATCAGTAACTCTCCAAAAAGCCTTGGCATCATTCCACTGTGTAATGCAATAAATAATTACTGCTACGTATGCACATATACAAAAAAGTAACAATTATAATACGGTGTGAATGGAGAGTTCGACAAGATGTTGATGAACGGCTTTGTAACAATTCAGCTTCCGTGGCTTCAGGATTAACACGGAATTAAACGAATTCCTATTGGAGCCCAATACTAGGAGCCTTTACCTTTATTGCTTTACTTATAATACTCACGAAAAGAAGCCTAGGATGCCTTCTTCCCTCCATATATCAACGAATGAAGAAAAGAAACCACTGGAAAATAACATAGCCAATGTTAGCGATATTGTTAACCTAAAACTATACGGTGATATTAAAAGTGTGGCAGCTCTCACTTCCGGGGTATTAGCTAACAAGCCGTCTTGCTGTCTTTTCGAGTGTATTCTTGTACTAGATGGCCAATTTTATTGCCGACGGTTGTGACGACAGCCATGCACTTATTTCTATGAGTAATTTACACTCTGCTTATTCCTACCATCACATGTCGTGGTATGAACCATCAGAATTCATTTGTACCCATCACGAGCCTTCATTCCAGTAACACACATACCTATAGTGCTGCTCTCCTCCAACAAACTGAGCCATGGACCGTATTGTCATCACATGCAAGGGCTGGGAGACAATTATGGCAGCTGTTTGTGAAATCACATGGTTAGAAGTCTGAAAGAGTAAGGCAAGCAATCATTGTAGCAAGTAATTTACTTGTCTCACTCCACACGCAGCACAGGTCACGCAGGGCACGCAGCAGATTCAGAACTTCCCAGATATCAGAATGGTAGTATGATACATGCATCTTATAATACGGTAACACCATAGCTGGTTCTGTTCTTGTAACCAAACACATTAACATTTCTTCAGTGGTAAAGTCATGCGTAGGAATGACAGTTGGTTTTCCAAGTTTTCAGAATTGCAGTCAAAAGATTGTGCACCTGCATCACTAGTAGAGAAGTGACGATTTATCAGTTAAACAAAAAATGCACGATACACTGTAGATATTATTTTCTTATAAATACATATCATGAAGCCATGATATTCATAGTGCAAATAAAGACACGAAAACCAGTTAAAAACAGGTTATTTTAAATAAAATTTTAATTTATAACCAGGAACGCAGCCACACTAACTTTTGCATCAACAATCAACATGAAGATACGATGATAACAAATACGATAAAATCTTATCTAAATGTGCAACAATAGAAACACAAAGGTATAGAATGTGATACAGATTGTGGGAAAATTTGAATGAACTTCTAACACATTTCTAAAAAGATGTATAACATAAGCAATGTCTTAATTTAATGTTTACCTCTATAACAAAAGCTTTGACTGATGGGTTGTCACTGCTGCCAATATCTTCATATACTGACTTCTTTTTTTTCTGCTGTTGCTGGAGATTCTATAAAAATATGTAATACACAAATATGTGACATAAGTAGTTCTGTACAGCTTTACTATAAAGAATCCACATGCTTTTCCAGTGACAGGAAATTTAATAACCTTACAACCAACAGCTGTCAGATCATGCCTATATGTATTTAAAACACAAACTCTAGGATTATAAAAAGTGTGCCTGTGTGCATGAGTGTTTGTGTGTATGCATGTATGCCTGTCTAAAACAGCAATAGAAAAAGCAGAGATGCTGATAGAATATGGAATGTGCAACTAATGCCTTACCGGGTTTTCTTGTAGTAGCTGCTCCAGTAATAATCACAATGAAATTCAAACATTATTATGAACAACAAACATGGACTAATGTTACCAGGAGTAAGATAATATAGATTCTATATTATCTTACTCCTGATGTTACTAGATACACTATACCAAAACACCCAGTTAGATATTTTAATAAACTGTTTGTTAGCAACTATTTTTGAAGTTTCAAGCAAGACATTCCATCAAAATAGTATCCAAATATTAACTCTTAATGTATAGATGTATTATACAATGAGCATATAAAGAAGGAGAGCGTACTTTATTTACGTTTTTTACGTTTTTTATATGCTCTTGATTATACTAAATAAATGTTAATTGTCAGGGTTCTGCCCACGGTGGGCGGCGGTGGGCGGGTGTGCCCTGCACTCGCGGTTGCCGCCCGGCACTATAAACGAGTCAGTTATCTCCGCCCGGCAATAATTTTTAAAAGAAAAAGAAAAAAAAAGAAAAAAAATTGTAGACTAAATACACTATAGTTTGTGTCCATTTGTTTAGAACTGAAGCAGTCTGACAGGTACTGTGACTGGCAGTAGCCTGGCTATCATGTTTAATAGTAGCATATATTTGTCTACACAAATTGTACTGTTTTCTCTTTTCTATGTATATCCAAGCTGTTGATAAATGATAATCTCAGATATTGCACTTTGTCCTCTAAAACCCGTTTTTCCTTTTTTTTACCTAAAAAAACAACAAATTTGTCAGTCTGATATATGGGCTTTTTATTGCTTAGAATGCAGGAAATTGAGTTTCAGACTGTCCAAAATAAAAAAATTTGGGGGGGCCATGCCCTCGGACCCCCCTAGATTGGCTTCGCACCTACGGCGCTTGCATCTTGCGCTGGATGCGCCCGGCACTAAAAAATCCTGGGCAGAACCCTGAATTGTATATATTTATGACATTAGTAATAACAATAAATAACCTTAATCTCATTAGTAATAATTGGTGCAAATTATATATGCAGTATAAATATATATTAGATATCTAAATAATTTATAAAAATTCTTAGGCACTAAGGCACTCTTACCTCCAGCACTGAATGTGCAGTTGCACTGGCAACAGCTGCAGTTGCTAGCTTGAAGGTTAAACCTCGATATATCCCAAAGAATCCATCTTCATTCCAAATATGACCAACTGGGAAATAAAAGTTGAATACAAAATTTATGAAATCACTATTAGATAACAACTCATTATTACAGCTAGTCATCAATAAGACAGCTAGTTATTTATCTAGAATAATCACTGATAGATACAACTTGATGTGATCGTGATAACAATACAATCACACTTTAAATTGTCTACGTCACGAATCTCCTGAAAGTTATATTTGTAGCCTTACTTTTGTAATTTTTTTAAACATCAAAAGTTAGTACTAATGTTACTAAATATATCCTCAAACTCTCACCTGATAAGAATGTTATTACGTTAGTAAAATTTTCAAAAATCTAGACGTTTTGAAATACTGTCAATAACTGCCGTCAACACTATTTACAGTCTAGAAGACTATTTACTGGCGTCTCTCGGTTGCTGTGGTCAGTGTCATCGTGATTTGTGTATGGTGCACAAAGTGGTGCCCAAACAGTTTCTGTTTTGATTTGTGTTAGCTATATAGAATATATAATATAGGAAAAATAAATGATATATGTTCATGTGTATTATGTTTGAAAAAATTATCAATAAAACTGCGAAAAGCTATTTGTTTTTTTAATTTTTGCAAACAAAAATGTTTGCGACATCCCCCTTCACGCTAGATCAACTAAACGATAACCAATGGTGGGCAGACCAGTTCAATTCAGTGCATCGGAAATAAAACGAAGGAGAAAAAAAGCAGAAAGAAGATTATATTAGAAACTACCGCTTAAGTTTACAAGACATTTCCATGGCTGCCACAATAATTTTGCCAATGCCTCGTTTACCGCAGATGTTCGCTATATCAGCTAGCTGCTTCTGGGCGCCACGGAAGAGTTTCAAATTAATGGCGGTTGTGTTTGTGTCGAGCGTTTGGTTACATCGAATGCACCGGCAAATTAGGGAGTATAAAGAAGATGAAAGCATGAAAGCATGAAGCATGAAAAGTAAACAGAAACACTAATTGTATTTTCATACATTTTATTTTGTAAAAATAACACACAAATATACTACTTGCTGGTGCTAAAAATTCTTGATGTATACAGTTTAAATATCGTATTCACTAGGATTGTCATACCATATTTAAAGACATTTGGCAACACCAGGGTTTTCCGACCAAGCCAGGTTGTGGTGAGCTTGGGTGCAATTGGTTCATGTCCAATCTAAAAGCAAAATTAAGGGATTATTTAGTTGTTGTAAATTATATAGCTTATTCAAGTTATAAGTTATGTTTATTTTACTAAAGGGATATATGACCCTAGGTTCCTTGCATATTATCAGTTAAAATAGGTTTAAATTACACTACATAAAAATTTAATTGCTTAATATTCATAAGAAATATTTTTATGTTTTAAAACTAATGGAATTATCGTTGTTTACAACGATGGTGGCACCACTACTAGTCAATCTACTTTCAAAGCAGTGCAACACAACTTTTTGGCTGCAGGCTACAGACTGAGGGTGTTCCTTATTTATTAATTTAAGAGGAAAATGATTGCGATATTTAGTTAAAGTTATAAACAACTTGTGGATACAGTTATAACAAGGATGTATTTGTCCTAAAATAAAAATCTTTTAATGAAATAGTAGACCGAATAATTCTGTCCCATATAACCTTTTTTATATTTTGGTGAGGGTTATTGGGACAGAACGGGGTACATGGCTTTACCTTGCTACTGATATGTGTATACATTCACTTCTTAAAAGATTGTTTTTCAGAAACCCCGCTTCATTCCACTTTAGTAAATCACATTCACCATTTACATACAATCAGACCAATCAGAGCGAGTCTTACAATAGCCTGGTTCTCGCTTGTATATGTTGCGCTGCAGGAGGCCTGATAGACTTGCTCTGATTGGTCTGATTGTTTGTAAATGGCGAATGTGATTTACTAAAGTGGAATGAAGCGGGGTTTCTGAAAAACAATCTTTTAAGAAGTGAATAACGATTGAAGTGAATGTATACACAGATCAGTAGCAAGGTAAAGCCATGTAGAAGGGAACGGTAGGGTTTTTTTCGCGCAAATAGCGGCGTACGGGCCGCATTAGCAGCGCATGCATTTTGCATGCAATCTCACGAAATTTCAATGCACCCCGTTCTGTCCCAATAACCCTCACCAAAATAAAAATAAATAAAATGTGGGACAGAATTATTTGGTATAATGAAATAGCAGCTAGATATAAATATAATTGCACTTTTGTGATTAGATCTGTCTGTAATGTGCAAAATAAATCGGCAAAAGCTCAACTTCGCCAGTGTGGTAGCACAATCGCAGGGTGTCACGTCATTGACATTGTTAGCAGCCAAAAATAAAGATTTCGAAATTTACTGTACCGCTGTAGTGTTTAATGACAATGACAATGTAAATGCGTGATTACAGACATTTGTAGGCATATACAATTATTCATGCACTTATACTATCATAATATGCCTTAAAATTCTAGGCTGTAGTGTCCCTTTAAAGTTTAAGGCTTATTAACAAACATTATTGAATATTGGCGCCTAAGTTATTTTACAGTTATACTTATAAGTTATACTTATAGTTATAACTTATAAGTTATAGATATTATTATTATATATTATTAATTAATAATTATTATAGTTATAGTTAACTGGAAATTTTTCGCGTTTAAATTAGTAATCAATTAATAAAATTTTCACGAACACTACCTGAACTAAAACTTTAGCATAAGTTAAAGGATATGCTGCAGCTGTAACACCAACGCCGAATAAGACATGTTTAAATAGATCTTTAGAAACTTCTTCCTTCTTCTCGGGCGCAGACATGTTTAAAACAGTGGCACCGCCACCTCCCGGACAGTATATGTAATGTATGACTGTATTCATCACCAAAGCGCCTATCATAGTTATCAGTGGCATTTTGCCATCACCACTATATTATATATACTTATCTTTCTCGAGGGCAAAGTTCTTCTAAACAGTTATCATTAAATATGGCGGAAACACTGCACGGCTGATGGTCGAAATATATTCTCTGGGTATAACTATTTTTCTATAATTATGGTTATTATTATTTTCTTACTTATTGGATAACGTTCTGTGCATTACTCTACTCCAACAACCTGTTTCACAAGCATATCTTACTAAAGATCTTTTTATTTCTATGCATAATACTTACATATTAAGTAATATTTATTCATACTAGTTTAACCGTTTCTTTACCTAATAACCTCTAATACTAATTGTAATATTAACTCTATGAATATTAGCATCTCTCTCTTCCTTTAGCTATTATCTATATATATATATATATATCTCTCTCTCTCTCTTACCGCGCAAACTCCTGTTTGCTAACATCATTACCATGTATTTCACTTATTATATGTGGCTTGATGAGGTTACTTGCATTGTGGTACTCTACTTTTAGTTATTCTGACTAATTAACTGTTCCAAATGTTGCAGCGACAATAGTTCTGGCACTACAGCCTCATTGCTTTGCAAAAAGTATAGTGCCCCGTGTAATTTGGAGCAAGGGGGTCATTGCGATACTGCCCTGCTGCACAACGATGAGTGTTATTTTTTGGTAATTGTCACAATTAATGGTTTTTTAAAGCTTCAATCTAGTAGGAGACAATATACGAACCTGATCTGGACTCCACACACACGATGTCACTTGATGTGACCAACCTCCCCGATGGATCTTCCAACATGTCAAAGATGGCCCCTACAAGACCCACAGTGAATGGCAACAACAGTCGGGAGCCTGATGTATATGTATACGGTTCGGATCCTTATGATATCCAAGACTGGGAGTTAGCAGGCCAAGGCCAGCAAGATGAAGAAGACAGCATTTCACCAATAGATGAAGATGAAGAAAAAAAAGAAAGCTCCAAACTGGCAAAAGTATGCTATATAATATTATGTATACACAACTATGTAGATAATAAGTAATCAGTATGCAATCTTAACACAAGAAGCAGCAGTAGGTATAGCTCTACCAGTGCAGCCCTATGCTGTGCAACACAAATCAACAAGTCAACAGGAATCCTGTCTAGACTCGTGTCAGGTTCCTTTCAGACCCCGTTGTGATGCAAAGGGCTACACAGGTAGAGCAATAGTAGACAATATAGTAGCATATCTAAAGATAAGACAACCATCTATGAGCAACAACATAGTCATGGTATGCAACTTATACTTTAGTGTAGATAGTATGGTCATGGTAATAAAAGAATCACGCAGTCTCGAATATGACTATACCTATTTACAAGATTACTCAAGAATTTGCCAAATTAATCAAGCATGTGGTGTGTGGATGGGTTTCTTTACCATTACAGATAAGGCAGAAGTTTACTACATCTGAACTAATGCTGATACTCGCTGTGGCTGGCCTCTTTATTCTCATCATTGTGAGCGTCACTGTGATCTCGCTATTTGCGACGCAGGCATTACTGGAGGCAAATATTGGAGACAAATTCCACTTCTTTCAGGAGAGCAGGTAAAATTTATACTAACCCTACTTTGAGACCCTAAAATGAACCGTCATCGTTCTCACCCTATTCCTAACACCTAATCCTAGCTGTAGGCCAAATCTATCACAAGCCCAAACCCTAATGGTAACCTAACCCTAAATCTACCTCAATCCTAAGCCCATCATTAAAATCGGGGGCCCTAATGTAAGATTAAACCAGTTGTGTGCATCTAGTTGTTACCGTGGGTTATTGAGAGACAGGGGCAGATATATACATTTAGGAAGGGTAAAATATTGGCAAAGATAGATGTTAGGAAACAGGTCATGCACAATTCACAAGCAAAACGATGGACCTGTTTGATGAAAAAAGCTGTTATTTGCGTGCCACTGTAATGTGCTGCGTAACCCCGAACAGACACTGTTTATATGCCTACATAGCATAGTATAAGAAAATGATACGTGTGGGTTGCGCTTCTCTAAGATCCGCCATCGAGAACTATGAGCTATCTATAAAACGCCGACTCCTGGTTAACCTCATATAGTTGCTGAAGTATACAGTATACACTATCCATGCATTCTTGAATGTGTCCTTATCTCTCTCTCTGTATGTACACAAGTTACATCTTGTGTAAATATAGAGGCGTGAAATTTAACGCCTTATGCAAAGATCTGCAAGTTTTTTTAGAAGCTGTAATTTATGCTTTTGCAGGATGTTACGTATTGACTATGGCGACAAGAACAACCGGATAGAAGGAGTACTGGGACTAACCATACCACCCTCGTTACTACCATATAATTGCAAAACGTCAATGGGCCTTGACCTCTGCCAGGACTGGCATGACTATGCAACCCTGAAGATGACGGAATCTGATTTTGGAACCACACAATGCTACGACATTAGTTGGAGGGGAGAGAGAATGGGCGGTGCTCTCATGGACTGCTATACGTTATCCCCAGCTCACTGGTATGTCAAGTATACGTCCAGCAACGTTTTGTCTGATACTAATATGCCAAATTGCTAAAGGGTCTCCTCAGTGAAGAATTTACATGAACCTATATCTTCCCTCTACACCACACTGGCACCTAGAGTGGCAATAGTGAAGAATTACGTATTAATGTTATAAAGCCTTTGATTATTGGTACCAGAATACTTGATTACCCACTGGATTGTTATTACTTGATTACTTGTTTACTTCATTACTTGATTATTTGTTTACTTCATTACTTGATTACTTGATTACTGTAGGTATGGTAGTGGACTGATGTATGAACAGACATGGCCACTAGATGCTATGAGCCGACCCATGGAAGCCTATGTGAATGGTGCCGTGTGGAGAGGAGAGCTAGGAGGGGTGCTGCAGCGAGCGTGGATCACATCGCATGCAGCCACCATTACAATCAACGCCGACGTTCCATTGTTCGTCAGCTTCAACAACACCGAAAATCCCGGTCAACTCTGCATGATGTCGCAGTACACAGACCTGTACAAGAACTTCAACGTCAGTTCGCGGCCACCCTGGCTCGACTACAGAGTGTGCGTGTCCGAAGACATGCAGCACGCACTGTCGCAGATGCTCACCGAATTTCCTCGAGTCGCGTGCGCGGACGAGCAGGATCTACCTCTCGTATCGTGGACAACGGACAACATGGCCGCCGGGAGTCTCACACAGGCGCACGTGACGGAGCTCGTCGAGCAGATACGCGCGCACGACCTGACCGGCGGCCGCCTCACGATCGGCGATGACTGGGAGTCCGATCATGGAGATCTGACCTTTGACACTGCGCGCTTCCCCGATCCGGACGCAATGGCCGCGCTTGTGCGCGCCAGCGGCCTCGCGTTGAGTCTCGGCGTGCACCCGTACGCGTCCGTCAATTCGGCGGCGTTCCACGAGGGCATCGACGCCGGTTACTGGCTGCGGGACGGCGGGCCGAACGACGTGCCAGCGCTCATCAGCTGGGACGGTGACGTGTCAACCGTACTGGACGTGAGCGGCGCGGCGGCGCAGGGCTGGTTTCTCTCCCGTCTCTCCGCGCTCGTCTCCGCGTACGTACTCGGTGGCTTCAGCATCCGAGGAGGCCAGCTCACGTCGCTGCCCCACTCGTTCACTTTCGAAAACCCCGGCGTCGCTCCCGTCGACTTCCTCGAGGGCTACTTGGACCTCGTGGCGCAGGCGGCGGGGCGGAACAGCTCTCAGTGTCGCGCGGGACTCGCGCTCGACGTGGCCGTTGCTGCGAACACGCAGGATTTCCCGGCGGCCATCCGCCTGCCGCCCGTCGAGAACACGTGGGGTGGAGACAACGGGCTGGGCAGCCTCGTGCCACGCGTGCTGACCGCAGGCCTGCTCGGCTACCCGCTCACGACGTCACCGCCGATCGAGTGGAGTCGCGCCATGGAGCCGGCGGAGAGACAGTCGTTCTACCTGCGTTGGGTTCAACTGGCGATTCTGTTCCCAGTCATGGAAGTGAACTCCGCTCCGTGGAGTTACGATTCCGCAACCCTCAAAGCGGTGCAGAACCTGCTGGAATTCCGCCTTGCTGTTATCCTGCCCAAGCTGCTGGCCTTGCTCCAAGATGCAAGCCAGCATGGATATCCACTCTGGCGCCCACTGTGGTGGACGTTTTCAAACGACCAAGAGTCTCTGGTGATCGACACAGAGTTTTTTCTAGGGAATAACACGCTGGTAGCCCCACTTTTGAATGCTGAGAATTACAGGATGATTTACATTCCCCCTGGTATATGGAGAGATGAGAATTCTCAGGCAGTTATAACTGGGCCATCTGTATTGAATTATCACGTATCACTTGAGATAGTGCCTTATTTCACTCTACTGAACATTACAACTCCTGCTGATTCCTAAACGCCTGTGATGAGTCCTCTTAAAAGTTGTGATGAAACCTTTGAACAGTTATACAGTTTCTTTCATAGTCATATAGCCACGTGGGTTTTCGGTAGATATATTTTATCTCTTTGGTCTCACCCAGGGACTGGTTTGCTATTAAAAAAAATCCCAAAGTGATCAAGTGTGGCTTGAACGATTATTCATTCACATATTCATTCACAGACTGGTCTGCTGGCTTTTAAACTTGGCCAATACTGTATCCGAGCTAGTTCAAGCTGACCTTCCTTGTGAGATGAGTTGCCGATCAAACGTGGCGATGGGCCAAATCCGACAACTGTTGGTTCGCGTTAGTTCATTTTAATACCAGATGGTTGGTCCGCAATTAGTCAACCCAATCACAAGTAATCAGATCGATATAAAACAAATGCGTCATAATTGTATTAGGAGACCATAATATATTCACGTTATCCTACTTATATCAAATGCTTTTTTACTAATCAATGATCGATATGTTATAAAAATGATAGCATAAAAATATACTATCGTAATGCAATATAGTTGTTTAATAATGTAATATGTGATGGCAATGAGGTCACATAATGATAATATAACATGAAAGCAATAATGTGATAACAGGCTTATAGCAATGATGAATTTGTGTGACGACAATGTGATGACAAATTAAGCATAATATAGCATTGTATATTGTGCGAGCAATGACACAATAATGTAATAACGTAGTGTTGTGTAATGTAGTGTAATATATCACTCTAATGTACAAATTAAATAATAACGTGATATAATGTGTTGAAAATGTTTAGTAATGTAATAAACAAATACAAAAATAATATCAGGAGTGAGGAAACTTGTTTTTATTCACTCCTGTTAATATTATTATACCAATATAGGATGATAATACAGATGAAGTAATTTTGAAATATGTGATATCAGTGATGAGGCAATGTAATATATTGTGATGTAATATAATGTGATAAACAAACATGATGTTAGTAAGTTACTGTAATTGAAATCGAAGGTTTTATAGCGATTGAAAAGACAAGGAACATAAACGACGGCAGACAATGAGGAGTGTTAATTAATGTTTATACATATTTACAAAATCGCATGACATGTGGCTCATTTAGATAACCGTATTATTATAAAATACCAGACATATCTTACAAATATTCAGAAAGTCATACCATACAGGTGATGTCGTTTTTTTGGAGAAAAAAATCTGTTCCGGTTGACGGAAAGATACAATTGCATCAAGGTCTCGCTTATACAATAGCAATATTTAGCATGACATAAAAGAGGTTGGGTACAGGAGGGATGATGGGGGAGAGATTGTAATAGGAGAAGGGTGGAGAAGCGATGGCAGTTGGAGCAATAGTAGTAAGAGGGGAAGGATGAAGAAGCCTTCAAGAAGGGATGGTGGGAAAGTGATAGTAGCAGAAGGGGAAGATTCAAGAATGGTGGGGGATAGTAGTATGAGCGCAAGAATTCAGGTAGGATGGAGAGGGAGAGGGGAGGGGAAGGATACGGAGAGGGAGAGGGGAGGGGAAGGATACGGAGAAGGAGAGGGGAGGGGAAGGATACGGAGAGGGAGAGGGGAGGGGAAGGATACGGAGAGGGAGAGGGGAGGGGAAGGATATGGAGAGGAAGAGGGGAGGGAAAGGATACAGAGGAGAGGGGAGGGGTAGGATACGGAAAAGGAGAGGGGAGGGGAAGGATACGGAGAGGGAGAGGGGAGAGGAAGGATATGGAGAGGAAGAGGGAGAGGGGAGGGAAAGGATATGGAGAGATAGTGGTCGAGAGATAGTAGTAGGATGGGAAAACTTTAGAAGGAATAGTGGGGGAGAGATGGTAGTAGGATGGGAAGAACTCAGGAGGGATAGTGGGGGAGATATAGTAGTAGGATGGGAAGAAC